AAACCCAAAGACCAAAAAAAAAATTTTTTAAAAAAAAAAAAAAAAAAAAAAAAAAAAAAAAAAACATAACAAGCCTGGCATTGTGGCACAGGCCTTTAATCCCAGCACTCAGGAGGCAGAGGCAGGAGGATCTCTGTGAGTCTGAGGCCAGTTCTAGTCTACACTGAAGAGTTCCAGGACAGTTGGAGATACATGATCCTATCTCAAAAAACAAAACAAAAACGAAAAAACCTACTGGAAGATAAATTCAAGAAGAGCAAAAAATGAACACTCATTACAATTTTTTGGGAAAAGTTACTATTATTAATATAAACTTTTAGTACCAAGAATAAGCCAATTTCAGTACTGAATTTTTTTCACATTTAAGAATCTAGTAATTGGCACAGGGCACAGTGGTGGCACACAGGACAGTGTGCCACACACATGCCTTTACTCCCAGCACTTGGGAGACAGAAGAAGGTGGATCTGAATTCCAGGACAGGCCTACATAGAAAAACAAACAAACAAAAAAGAAAGAAATGAAGAAAAAAGAAAAGGCTCCAGTAATTGTATTCAAAAATATGCAAAGCAAGTTTTGTTTTTTAACCACGAAAGTCAGCAAAAGCTATGCAAGTTAGCTAAGTATATCAATCAGATATAGAGAATGCAGTAGTACACCAGAACAGAAATGTTTACTTCAAAGCTAAGCCACTTAAACTAGGACTTTTCAAAATAATTCATTTAAAAAGTTTCCCATACAGTATTTCATGTTACTGGTTAGTTCAAACATGGTTAACTTGAGAACATATATTTATTCAGGGGGAGGACAAAAATGCATAGGAGAATGTCTAAAACATTTTCTATACCTACAAAGGAATAATGTCTATTCAAATGAATTCTGAAGACGTAATTTTTAAAAATTCTAAGACTACAGAAATTTCACAGCTGAATGCTCATGCGTAACTAAAGTTAGTGCCTTTGAGAACACTGCAAGATTCATCCTTCTCAATTGCTGCAGGTTAACAAACTCAAAAAGTAAAGCACTTGTTCTCTTATTTTCTTGCTTTGTTAGAAACATGGTCAACAAGTTCTATACAAACTTATAGGGTACATTTAACTCCATTATGCACTCTCACTGGCAGATGGAGGGATGACGTTGAGATGTTTGCAGTAAGGGGGAACATCTTGTGGACTGTCAGATGACCCGCTATTATTCTTTTTCATTATCCTGGCCTCTCAAACAACTCAGACAGCAAAAGAGAACCAGGTCCGGGACCATCAGAATAACTACACTAAACTAACAGTAAGCAGAAAAAAGAACGGGATAATGGAAAGTCTCCCTGAATTTCTCATAACAATGGGGCAGAGTGAAGAAAAGAATTCCTTGATCTTGTAAACTAAAACAGCAAAAATCCAAAAACCAAAGCATACACAAAACCTACTATGTATTTTTAAGCTTGTACAATCACTTTGGTTGGAAGTTCATGACTGGGCCTCTTTCAACTTCTAGTCTCCATTTCAAAGTGCCTAATTCCAGAAAAGCTTTATCTTTTTCTGTTTCCTCCTAAATAAGAGAGTGACAACAAAGTGCAAAGAAAATGCCCCAGGTATCGTCACCTGAAGTCTGAGTTTGAGACACTTTGGTTTCACACCAAATAGACATAAAATGAACTTCGTTCCATACTAAGTCAAGAATGGGAA